TTTTTTTTAATTATTGTACAGAAGGAAGAAAAGGGCCATCCGCAAATGTCTAAATCCGAGAGGCTCCGAAATTGGGCCATCCGCAATATTGTACACTGTGAAGTAAATCTGCCTTTCATTTTGCCGTCCGAAATCGCCATGAAAAGGGCCATCTGAAATTGCCAAGAAAACTTCAATAAATCTGCTTAGGCGAGGGCGGAGGTGGCGAACGGCCGGAGGGCGGATGTCGGATGGTGGCGAACAGATCGAGGGCGGATGGCGGCGAAAATTGAAGCACGACGGTGGCGCACGGCGAAGCCTAGCGGCCAAATACGGGTAGGAGAAAGAGAAATGAAAATACGGGAAAAAAAATAGGGTTTGGGGAGAAGATACAAATTTTATATTTTATATTTTTATTTTTATTTTTTTAATAAATGACGGGCCAGCCCGCGGGCTAGCCTGCCCCGATCTAGCCCGCGGCCCGCGCAGGCTGGCCCGTTTAGGCCCGCTCTCCAGCGGGCCGGCCCGCGGGCCACGGGCCAAATTGACAGCTCTAATAATTACTAGCTAATAGCATTTAAGAAAACCTATTTAATAAAACCTCTAAAATTTTCCCTCCATTTTCGGTTACAAAATTTATCATTAATGCTTTTTACTTCTCACATTAAATACATCATATTGAGTGTAATCATGTATTTTTCTATTATATTATATAATAATTAATGCTAATACCAACTAATAATAATTCACAATAAATATAAATTGCATAATTATAAACAATTGTTTCAAGTTATTTATTTTAACATCAATATTATCTTTTTCTTTTGAATCTCATGGAAAAATTTCTTTGAAAAACAATTAGTAAATTGTTTTAATAGCATAGTCAAACAACTTTAGAATCTTATAAACAATTGTTTTTGTAATAATAATAATAATAATCAAACTGCTATTATCTAATGATAATTAACAATTGTTCATAATAATAAATAATAATTAATTTATTTTTCTTAATGATTAAATTTTAAAAATGTAATATGTTCATTATCTAAAATTTTAATATTAAATTCCCAAATATTACTTATTATATTTTATGTACATCTGTGCATGTGCACAGAATATTTACTAGTAAATAAATAAATTTGACAGCGTGAGTCATCTTCGAACACGTTCAAAAATTTTTATTTTTTTCCAATTGTATATAAATTATTTGGAAAGAAAAAATAACTCAATAGTAAAAGTTATGAAAAAGGTAGGAAATAAAAAATTGGTTGAAGAATGAATATTTTTGAGTTTATAAATGGATAAAATAAATTATAATGATTAAAATTGATGTGATATACGATATAAAAATATAAAAATGATGATTGTAAATAATTAGAAGTTAAAAATATATAAAAATGATGATTGTAAATAAGTAAAAGTTAAAAATATGTAAGTAAATAAATAACAAATTTTATTGGAAAATGTATAATAGTGACTGATTTATATTATTTAATTAAATTAATAATATTGTGGAGAAAATAATTGGATTAAATGAAGAGTAAATTGTCTGGAAAAAAAAATTATAAATTATCCGCAAAACAAAATCAAATATAATTAATATCCAATCACATTTACACATTAGTACCTTAATGGAAACCATTTCAATCAACTGCCCATGCAATTCATAGTTTCATACATGGACAAAGCATATTAGCCTCACTACTGTCACTCAAACACACCAAGACCTTCAACCTTGTTCACTTGCGAGAAGTTCAACAACTTTTACAAAAGTGATTCTTGGTCTATGTCAAATTTTACATGCTAAGACCACCCAAAAAAAAAACAAAAAAAACAAAAAAAAAAAATTCAAACTTTCCCCATTACTTTCTCAAGGTTGGCCACATGTTTTTTCCCCTTGAAATGAGCCCCCAGAGTAATATCGGACGATACTTTCACATGACAAAGGGCACACCAGTGTTTAAAATTGTGCTGAACATCCACAGTGGGCTTCTTCTTGACAGGCTGTGTCTGAGCAATTTTTTTGGGCTTTAAAGTCGATTCTTGCTTGGACCCACTTTCACGGCCCGATGAGGATCCAGGACTTGGATGGTCTTTTGTGGTATTATTATTATTATTGAGCTTGCTCGATTTCAAGGACTGTATCATGGTCATGTGCTTATTCCCTCTGAGATGGTCGTTCATATTTTTCTCGCTAGTCGTTGAAATTTGACATAAATGACAAGTCCATTCTGAAGATGTTTTTTGTGGTGCTATAGTGTCTTTATTAAGAACCGGTGCATGGGCTTTTTCCTTGGGGACTGGCTGTTTTACAGTTGCAAAATGACAATTATTGATTGAGTTGGTTTAACTGTGTCTAATCATATAATTACCAGTATACAGAGATAGAATGTTAAAATTCATTAAGCTCCTTTTAGAAGTAAATAAAATTGTAAGATATCAGTTTGAAAGTATAGAAAAATCCAAGAGCCTCACCTTTACCGCTTCAGTAGCTTCATTCCCTTTGGGAGTTTCTAATATTCCTTTATAAATCATCACTTTTTTCGCTTCAGTTGCCTCAAATTCAATCCCCTTGGGAGTTTCTAATATTCCTTTATCTTTCTCAGCGGCATCAGGTTCTTTAGGCTAAAATAAGAGCTAATATATCAAGTGGAATTCAAAGTAAGAAATTAAAACTAAAAATTTTACCAGTTTCAATGTAGCCTCAACATTTTTCTTGTCTGGTTCTTGAACCCGAGAACCCCTCTGAGAATCATCAGATTCGTTGAGTTCCTTCTACGTCAATCAGAAAAAAAAAATAAAAAAAATGCTCATTGTTCTAACAAGAAATGAGAATAAGCAAGTCTGATATATAAGAGTCTAACCAACCACCAGAAAAAATTATTTAGAAACTGAATTTTTAAATTGTTATGGTATAGCAAAACCTTTGCTGCAATTAGCTTTTCAAGAGCTTCGACTCCATTCTCTTTCATGTACTTATCTGCCACATCAAGAGATGTCTCGTTCGTACGACTTTGTTCTTCCCACCTACGTATAGCTTCTTGCACATTCACAATCAAATACGGACGTATAAAGCTTTGGTACGCATAACATGCACCATGAAACTGTGGTACAACTAACCACAAGATGGTCGCGAGTTTTATTTTCGACCAAATCGGTATCCTGTCAAAATAATGCAAAAGTATCATGAATACATAAAAGCATTAAATTTCTTTAATTCTCTTTCTGTATAAGCAAGAGATATTTACACAAGGGCATTAAATTTCTTTAATTCTTTTTCTGTATAAGCAAGAGATAATGCACTATCAAGAAAATGGTGGCTATTGGCCAAGGACAATGATTAGATGCTCCATTTACTTGGTCTCATGTCCATACAATCATACTATAGTATAATAAATAATATCAACTGAAAGTAAACAAAAATTGCATCAGACATAAATATGAATACTTATCAAAAAGCAGTGTTTGGTACACTTACCATTCGATGAGATTCATTAAAGCAAACTCAAACAGAGAAATTAGAGAAAAAAGGGTCCAATATATAGCCAACTTCTTCAAGTGAAATTTTGAACCAGTTTCAATTGCTCTGATGGAAGCAAACCTGAAAGTTCAACATTATTAATAAGAACAAATCCTTTTTATTCTTAAATACTTCCAACCATTACAATCATCACATTTATAATAAATCCTGTCAAAAACAGCAGTCACCTATCACATGTGATACTTTACTTTTACATCAAAGGCACAACACAAAATGTGCACACAATAGACACAGAAACGAAGGTTAAACTTACAGAGGAAACCCTAGAGCAATCACAGGCCTGCAAAAAGAAAAATTATCAAAGAAATTAAGAAGAAAAAGAAAGTTGCTGGAAAATAAAAGCAATGTGCTGAAAGTAAAATACATGCATATAAATATCAAAGACAAAACCCCAAATGAAAAACGAGAAACAGAGTGAGCCATCATCGATACTATTATACATAAGCTAAACTCGCACATATTGCGATAAAACAAAAAGTACAGAACAAGAAAATGGGAAAAGGGAAGAAAAATTTACCAGGCAAAAAGATCGATACATAAAAGCGAGAATTTCAGCAAACTCAAGAAACCCATTTGGAATTTGAGGAAAATATCAACGATGATGTTCGATTTTTTTATCTTTGTCAAGTTATTTGGCTATGAAAAGGAAAGAAAATCAGGGGAAAATACATGAGAAGAACTGGGGCTCTGTGAGTTGGTACGTAGAGAGAAAAAGGGAGGACTTTGGGAAGTGAAAGCGACTCTCCATATTCTCCTTTTCGAAATAATAAAATCTGTTGGGGGTGTGTTTGCTTTGTCATTGGAAAGTGTCTTGACGTGGTGTTTTATTGGATGTATTAAATTTAAACTAATGTTTACTTGTTACTACAAATTATCAAAAAAGAAAATACTACTTAGAAATGCATGTATGGAGGGGTACTTTTTCAAGAAAGCCAACCAAACACAACTTTAAAAATAAAAATCACAATATATATCTTACCTAATAAGGGTAATATTACCCGTATTGCAAAACTCTTACTATTACTTATATATTATTTTTCTTATTTTTATTTATTTATTTCGTATTTTAAATATATTCGATATATCATACTTCCCCTTATTTTTAATAAATATCGTTTTGAGAAGTTGCATAATAATTAAGAATATTTTTTTACCAGTAATAACCCTCATTAATGAGGATAGAGATTGATATTTTGAGAAAATATGAAGAGTGAATATGAAAAGACATACTGTATTTATTAGTTAGATGAGGGTAATGATAGAAAAATATGTACAAAATAGTCAAAACAACATGTATTTAACAAATGATCAGTTAAGCTAGAATGACAAATAATAAAAATAGGAGGGAGTATAATTTAAGTATTCTAAGAATTCTAAAAAATTTTATGCTATTAAACAGAAAGAAAAATCTAAAACGATAATAAAAAAAAAATCATGTATTTTTAATTCTAGACGGG